AAGTGGATTATCAGATACTCCAGGGGACAAAATACAAAATGGCGGGGGGTGGGGGGAGCGGAGGATAAACATACCGAATGCGAAGCCGAAGCCGAGCTGTTTCTTTAGCGTAATAAGTGTATTTGGCCAAAAGCAAATAATGTTAACTTTTTATTAACATCTCAAAGCACTGACTAAGTGTTATATGAGTTAGTTCTAGGAGAAAACAGGACATAATTAATTTTTTTTCCAAAAATGCAGGGCTGGTGTTATTCCTCAGTCTTTTGTTTTCCTAAGATAAATATGCCATGTCGTGGAACTAATATAGTTACTAAAAGAACACAGCATGCATGCAGAATGCAATAGTGGGTGCTAAAATTGTTTGAGATATTTTGTGAATATCTCCTGCAGCACATTTGGAGTGATTCATGTTCCATGTAGAAATTTTATAATTGTTCTGTATACACCATCAGTTCCCAACTGACATGTTACTTTCATATTATACATTTCCATAAGCGTTTACATAGTCTCCAGTCTTCTTCTGCCACCCCCAGATTGAGGAGGAAGTGGTGAGGAAAGGGAAACAGAGGCAGGAAGTTGAAGAAGGAGCCAGAAGAGTCAGCCCCCTCACTCTGTGTGTATCAGGGGAGAGGGCGTGCCATACACACTCTCCCTAAGCAGACCCTGCACCCTGGAAAACTCAAAAACAGAAAAGAAATGTCATACAGAGTTTGTGACGCAGTAATTTCAGGAAACAAAAGGTCAAAGAGCTCCTTTGGGAAATATTGCAGATCTGTAGTATGCTGCTGAGGTTTTGTGAATTTTGAAACAGAGGTGAATACCAAAGAGAAACAAAATAGGAAATGCATGATTTGAAAACATTTCTGGTAGCAGGCAGCCAAGTTTTCAGTCAATTAGCTTTCAGTTGGTATTCATGCGAATACTATTGCAAATCCGTGGGATAATTTAATGGCCTATTGGTAACTAAGACCAGAATTTTTAAAAGAGCTATAATATTCGTAAGAATAATTCCGGTGCCCAATTCTAGTCCAAAGATATCCTAACCCTCCGTCCTCCCAGAGCCACACACCCCACCCCCATTCAGGTCCAAACCACCAAGGGACCATCTAGCAGAAGGAAAAAGGACAGTGCAAAAGTAACTCAAGACATAGAATGTGGTAAGTCCACTCAACAGCAGTGATCAAGTGTTACGGGGACTTATTTAAATGAAGGAGAAAACATTTTTTCCAGTTGTCGAAGGAAGGCTTCAGGAAATGAGAGGCATATGAACTGGATGTTAAAGAATGAGGAAGGTTTCCGTAGGCAGAGATGGGAAACAGGACAGGCCAGAAGAAAAAATAAACCGTACAGAGTGGGCAGTACGAGGCATGCCTGCGTGTAGGAAAAAGTGCACTAGTATTTGAGTCTAAATAGCTGAGTTTGAGTATACCAGAGCTGTTTCTTGTGGGCCTCTTAGTAGTTTGCCTATTAACTTTTTATTTTAAATTTGAAGAACAGTCTGTCCCTATTGTAACTGTTGAATCCTTTTGCTTTTCAGGCCAGAGAAGGGGAAGTAGCCATTATTGATAAAGTCCTAGACAATCCAGACTTGACATCAAAAGAATTCCAACAATGGAAGCAGATGTACCTCGATCTTTTCTTGGATATCTGTCAAAACACCACCTCAAATGACCCATTAAGTATTTCTTCTGAAGTAGATGTAATCACTTCCTCCCTAACACACACTCATTCATACATTGAAACGCATGTGTAAGTGTATTCTGCCCTCTGGCCATGTGGTACCTTCTGGTACTTTGAACAAGTATATAAGGTAGTTTTTATATCAACGTGTGGGACACGTGACAAGCTATACTTCAATGTTACCAAAACTATATGAAACAAACCCTATATGGTCATAATACCGCTGTCTTTAATGAGCATTTGTATATTTTATATGCAGTTAGTGCTCAGCTTATGTTTACCATGTGCAAAATCAGCTGTCTTCAATGACTTAAAGTTAACTTTTGCAAACAACTCTGAAGACAGGTGGTCTTCAAGTAGAAAAAACAAAAAGGCGGTTTTCTATCTAAGGTCATCTTTTCTCCCTTTAAGTTAATTTTATATAAACAAAACTTCAAAACTAAATCACATTTTTTCAGGTGCAGACATCCTTGTGGGTGGGAAAGAATTTAAACCTTTTTTATATTAAAATGTTCTAAGAATTTTCTTAAACATTGCACAAAGTTTAATGCTGTAGTTTTATTTTTGTGAAATGTAGATGCGCATACAAGAGTTAAGCAAAACAGAAGAGCATCAACATAAGAAAAGTTCAGGTATCTAATATTCGTCTTAATAGTCTATTAACTTGTGAAAGCTGGTTAATGGAAATAGTATTCCAAATCCATGGGGACACTTAATGGTGTATCAGGGCAAAGCTTTGTAAGATGTTTTTGTAACTGAGACCAAAATTGAAGATAGAGCTGCTTTATTTTCTTGGTTTAAATCTTCCTTTATTTTTGTAGTGATGAAATGCTGATTGTGTATAGAGGACTTTGAGAGTGGATTTTTTAAAACACACTTAACTCACCCAGAAAGGCAGCTAACATATATATATGTGTATATGTATATATATGTATGTATATATATATATATATATATATATATATATATAATTTCAGCCCAAACTCATTTTTTTAAACTCCAACTTCTAAAAAGTTACAAGGTATAAACGTAAATGAATCAACTTCCCAGTTAGGGTCAATTTTCCCCCTAGTCCATTATTTAAACTTTATATATAATTATACTTCAGGCAGGGAAGTAAAATATGTTTACTTACAGGCTGATGTATGTTCTAATATAGAAAACAATGTTGAAAAACAAAAATGTACCTCTCTCCTGAGGAGCAAGAGGATGATGGTCATTCAGAGATATATTACATTGAATTATACGAGAGAAACAATTTTTAGAGGTTTTTCCTAGTTTCATGATTTGTTCTATAGAGTGGATGAAGTCTATGAAAAAATCCTCTTCATATATTTCCATTTATAAGCATCTCGTTTTTGAAAGTGATCACAGCATGATAATGACTGTGCTGCTTTTTAGTGTCTGGCTGCATAACGTGTAAGTCACAATTTGCTGGTTTGGGGTTTTGTTTTTTTAGGAGGAGGAAGAGACCCTCCTTTACTATTCTATATCCTAAAATCTACTTCTAATCAGCTTTATACTGTTGCCTGTACAGCTCAGTGAATGAATGTACTTTCATCTCTAAGAGTTCAGATATCTGCCAATGAATATTTTTGCTGTAGAGGAGAAAGTAAGAACTCCACAGCGGGGATCTTTTCCTTTGCTTTTGAAACCACCATTGAATCACTATCGTTTTGCAGACTTTGCACAACTGTACAGGAGAGTGGCCTTTCTACAGCACATTTTCAGTAATTCTATATTTAGTCAAAATGGATGAGAAATCATGTATTAATGTTTGTATGGAATTTTGGGTCTGGTGTAATATTTTTATCATTTAAAAAAAAAACTATTTGTAAAAACATTTATTTACTGCATGGGTGTTGACGCACATTAAATTTGTGGGATTTTGTATATGTAAAAAAACAAAAAGCAAAAAAACAAAAACCTCTTGTCCTAAAATGAAGTGTGCTTGTTACAGGTGTTTAGACTTGTTAATGTTTACTAGACCAAATGCGTACATTTACTTAAAAATATCTGTACCTGATGGATGTGTCGTGGATACAGTGGCCAGGTTGTGCCCTGGAAACAGTGAGCGGTTGATGGAAAGACTAGCTGTGTTGCTACTAAGCGGCTTTTACTTTGGTAAAGTTGTTTTAAATGGTAAAAATTAAACTAATGAATTTTAAAAGACTCGTGGCTAGCCTAGCATGAAAGAGACCTTTTAACACTATATATCTGTACATTTTATTGCATTAGTTTCAAATCTAGGAGAGAGGCAGCACTGTAAACTGAAGTCAAATAAATTCAGCTCTTAATGAATCCTTATAAAGCACCTATTTTATTCATGCAGTCCTCATCACATTTCTTTGTGACCTAATCACACAGCCGCCACCACCCCACCACCCCACCCCCGGTTACAAGTTTTAACTTTGTCACTCCATTGGTGGTACAAGCCAGAAGAAGCACCTGTCCAGTGTATACAAGAATCTTCTCTGAGGTCCTGCAAAATCAAGCTGGTTTCCCATTTACCTGAAAGGAACTTTAAAATTTCACCTACTCCTCTTTCGTTTCTCTGTGATTCTTTTGGGAAGGTGGGGCAGAGGGTGGGGGGGTACCACTAAAAATAAACTTTAAAAATATTTTTTTACAAATATTACCTACGGCATGTCTGCAGAATGAACATTTAAAGAGGATGAATGAAATAGGGTTTTGATTTGTTTTTCTTAGGTGTTCCACTAAGCCAAAGAAGCCTGATTATTATGGCTAAGGGCTGCAGAAATAAAAGTTAAAACCAATGAGCTGCCAAAAGCCAGGGCAAAAGCAGACTAGGGTAAGTAAGGATGAAGTACAGAAAAACTTAACCTAGGTTATTTTCTCAAAAAAAAATGGTGCTTTCTTAGAGATTTTTATCCTCTCAGTTCCATATCTATATTAAACTATCAGAGCAGAACTATAACCATGATTCTGGATCATAAAATCATAGTTCTTCCTACAATGATTGCATGTGTTTATTAACCAAGGCACTTTCCCTTCACTATTTATTCAGATAAATATTTATTTATTCAGATAATGCCATCTTCTAGAACCATTTATTACAGTCTTTATAGCTAACAATTTTCTGGTCTTGTACATAATTTCTTATGGTACGTTTTTTGGCTGTTTGGCACAAAAGTAGTCACTGTTTAGCGCCTGGGAAACACTAACTACCAGAGGGAAAATAGGGTCATGTTTTATTTTCAAAGTCCATGTCTAGCCCAGCATGAGAATTTCTAGAAATCCCCAGTTCACTGAAGATGATTCATATATCCTTCTAAATTTGACCCGTCCTGTCTCCCATTCTCAGAGTAAGGGGAAATGTTCCTCTTTGGCCAAGCCTAAGGAAAAGCCCACGGGTTGCTCTGTAAGCCTGGTCAGGCGCGACTTGCTCACTGACCCATTAAGCCCAGCACTAAATCTGGCGCCTCTCCAGGCTCCCCCTCCCTCTCCTCGTCCCCACCCTCGGCCAGCTGCAGCACTGCGCACTGCAGGCCGCTCCAGGCCCAAGGCAGCGCGCAACCAGTGTCCTCCCAGCGGTCCAGGTCGAGGTCATAACCCACCACGTTGCGGGTAGGCACCTGGCGTGAGTCCTGCCACTTCAGGCCTCCCAGCAGCAGCACCGTCTCGTCCACCACGGCCAGCCCATAGCAGAAGCGGTCGTAGGGTAGCGGCCGCAGCCGAGTCCACTGGTCGGTGCCGGGGTCGTAGCGCTCGATTTCGGAGAAGGGCTCGTAGCGCCCCAGAAAGGCGAACAGCGCGCCGCGCAGTGCGGCCATGTGGTGCCCGAAGCGGGCCGTGCCCATAGGCGCCCTCTTGCTCCACGCCTGCTCCCCGGGGCCCAGGGAGAACAAGTCCCGGAGGCTGCTCGCGCCGCCCTCGCCTCTCCCCGCCTTGCCCCCGGAGACGTACACGACGCCGCAGTTCCCGACAGCCCCCGCGTGGCCGTGCAGGGCCCGCGGCAGCGCCCCGGCCGCCGTCCAGCGGTCCCGGCGCAGGTCGTACATCTCCACTGAAGCCAGCGCTTCGCCGCCCGCGCCCAGGCCCCCGACGGCCAGGAGCCCCTCACCCACGGCGCCGCACCAGAAATGGGCCCGCGCTTCCCGCATAGCGGGCACAGTCGTCCAAGCGTGGAAGCGCGGGTCATAACGGTGCACTTGGGCCGTGACCGCCCGCAGGCCGTCGGCTGTGGGGGAGGAGCCGCCGCCCGACGGGGTCTCCCCGCCGAGGACGAACAGGAAGTTGCCCGCGGCGCACACGCTGTGTCCCAGTAGCGGAGCAGGCAGCCGCGTGAGGCTGCGCCAGCGGTGGTTGTACCCGTCAAAGGCCACCACGTCCTGGGTAAGCTCCCACTCCTCCTCCTCCTCATCCTCCACCTGCTCCTCTTCCTCGGGCTCCGCCGCGGCGCCCCTCCCCCTGGCTGCCCGCCGGGGGGCCACGACCTCCTCGGTCACCACTTCCCGCCCCCTGCACCCCCCGACCAACAAGATGCGGGTTTGGGGGCTCCGGACGCTGGTCTGCTCGCCCTGCATGAGCGGCTGGCGGGAGGGCGACGTGTGGTAGTTGAGGGCCTGGATGATGAGGCCCTTGACCCGGGAGGGCAGGGTGAGGCCGGAGCCCGAGTACACGCGCCGCAGCACGTCGGTGGGCACCAGGCCGAAGCGGACGCGCTCGAGCAGCGCGGCGCAGTGGGCCAGCCGTTCGGCCTCGGGCTCCTGCTGCAGCCAGGCCAGAGCCAGGCCCAGCAGCCGGGCCTCGGGCACGCGCGCCACGTCAGGGGCACCCAGCACGGCCCTCAGCGACGCGGGGTTGAGCTCCAGCAGCCCGGCGGGGCCCGCGCCCCGCGCCAGCAGCTCCCGCAGGTGGCTCACAATGCAGCGCTCGGCCACGCCCAGCGTGTGCACCAGGCCGAAGCGCGCCGCCATGTTGGCGGCGAAGCAGCAGTTATCAGGGGCTAGCTGGCGCTCCAGGTAGCGGCCGCACAACCCCAGGGCCTCGGTGACCTGCAGGTAGCTGGCGGCCTCCAGCGTGTCCTCCACGGTGTCCATGGAGAGCGGCAGCCAGGCGGTGTAGATGAAGTCCAGCAGGCGCTGCAGGCCGGCCGCTGACGGCACATGCAGGTGGATCACGGGCGCCCGGGATTCCCGGGTGTGGCCCTTGAACAGGGCCCTGAAGTAGTCGCTGGAACACGCGAGGAGCGACCTGTGCGCCGGGAACTCGCTGCCCTCGGCCTCCAGAGTCACGTCGCACAGAAAGCCCTCGGCGCGCAGGGCCTGATAGCCGGTGAGCAGCGCGCCGCCATGAGCTTTGCAGTAAGACAGGAAGTAACTCATGACGCCCAGGGCGGGAAGTGGCCGGGCCGGGGCTGGGGCCAGCCGGGCGCGGCCGGAGACATCCCGGGACACGGCGCCGCCAGGTCCCCCGTGCGAGCCGAAGAGCCCCTAGCAGGGGCCCATTTTTGCCTGCTCAGCTTAAATCCCAGGCCTCCTTCATACAGGTCCGCAGATCTTCCAGTCCCCCTCTCAGAGCAAATCGGGTCGGGGAACGGTTTCCAGAAGCCCCTAGTAGCGGAGGGCAAGGCGTTTGGAGTCTTCCGGGAGGTGCAGGGCTCGGTTTCGGCGGCTGCCGAGGCTGCCAGAGCGTTGCCCAAAGCCCTCTCCACGGCCCAGTTTAGGGAGCCCACACCTGCGCGCCAGGGGCCGCAGTGGCCGCGCACCATCACCTGGAAGGGCGGAGCTGCAGGTAGACTGACTCCAGGGGAGTGCTGGATCTCCGACGGCCCAGATGCGCAGATGTGGCCCGACTCGGGCCGTCCGGGAAGTGCGGGGCGAGGGCTCTGACCTCCCGGGGGTGGACAGGGAGGGTTCTGCGGGCACCCGCGAGGGCCGGGTTCAACTAGCTACGGGGCAAGGGGGGTGAGCTTGTTCCGCGCGGAGGATCAAATCAAAGCCTAGGGGATTAAGGAGGGGGGGCTCAGGTCAGCGCGGAGGGTCGGAGGCGTGATTGGCCGCAGCACATAACATGCCGGTAGCTCACAGCGACAGGAATAGCGCGCGGCCTCGGCCTTCCCGGCGCGCCCCGCCCCACGCCCCGGCTGCTGGCTGAGAACGGAGGGCCGGGACGCGGGAGCAAGCGGCCCGGGCCTGGGACATGACTCCGGCGACCCCACAAGCCTCCGGTCACCAGCGGGTCCCGGGAACCCGGCTGGGGTGCGGGAGGCGCTCACTGGAGAGGCGCGAGTCGCGGGGACCCTGTGCCTGTTGGTGTCTGGGGAGGGGCGCCCGGCTGGTCTGGAGGAGTGTCGACCCCCCCGGTGTCTCTGCGCCTGGGAAAAACGCCCCTGGCTCGCAACTTTCTGCTTTGAGGAGGCCCTAATTAATCCAGCTAGAGCGGGGATTAAGCGGCGATTTTGCGCGCTGACACCCAGGAGGCCACTGTGCTCGGAGGAGCAGCTGGCGGGAATCACGCCGGGGCGAACCGACGCTCCTCGCCAGCGGCGCTCCGGAGCACGCTCCTCACCTGGACTCACCCTTGCGAGATGCTGGGCCTACTCTGCGCCCTTCCCGAGGTCTCCCTGGCTTGTCTCACATTCCGCTTTCAGGAATTTGCTCCCACCCAGCTCCCCGACCCCGGCTGAGTTACCCCTTCCTGTTCTTAGACCCCACCCGGCCCATCCCTTGGCAAAGTGGACACGGAGATTGTAGGTGACTTGGGTTTTCTGCCTTTGAATGACCACTTCATTTAAGAAAATAAGTCTTTCCAGTTTGTCTCCCAGGCTTTACAGGCTCTGATGTAATTACTGCCTGCTCCATTCTCAATGCCGTGACGTGATAATGGGCAGTAAGGTTGCAAAGCTCGGTAGAGGCTGGAGTTTTGAAGGGCCCATCCTCATGAAGTTATTTTTATAAGATGCACCCAGCACCTTATAAAAGGTGAAATGATGACTAAAACCACCCCAATCTTGAGACATCAGGAAAGCATTTCTCATCTCTGACACCCTGCTCTTAAATAACTAAATGATTAATATAGCTGTTCTTTCTTGCCAGTTTGGAGGGTTCTGTGTGTTTTGCTTTCATCTAGAATTGATTTTTCTATTTTCTAATACAACCCTTCTGGTAATCTGTTTTAAGTGCACCTTTTGAAGGCATCTGAAATAACTTGCATTTCTGAGAGTTAGGGTTGTATTTCATTTAAAAAAAAAATCCAAGGAAGGATAAAATTCATCATTTTCTGCCTGGTATGCCATCGGTACTTACAGGGCCTCCAGTTAGAAGCAATCCTTGAAGTACATAAAAATATTAGTAAAATGATTTTGCTTTGTTGTCAAAGATGAAACTGATTTATGACTTAAATTAGTCAAATTATAAAATGCAGACAGGGGCTCAGGTTAAGGGCTTACTTAAACTCCAGAGACTAAAAATACTGCAATTTGAATTCCTAATGTTAGAGCTACAGATGGGGGGGGGGGCAGTGCTAGTTGGTTTGGGTTTTTCTTTCTTTTTTTTATTTTTTTTGTAAAGCACTAAAATTCTTAGTTCAAAAATACAATACCAGTTTGGTTCGCTGTGCACAGATCTGTATGGTGAAATTAAATGGCCTTTACTCAACCTGATAGAATTTTGCTAGAAGGTATATTTGAGATCATTTAGCCAAACACTCTCCCTTTCCTCCCCAATTTCTTGTTTTTCTTTTTAAAAATGTGGCAAATGAGCCCCAGAGAGAGTACGGTTTGTCTGGGTGACTTGGATATTGAGTTACATAGTCTGGACCAGAATCCAGGGCTCCCTCCCCACTATATTATGTGACCTCATGTATGATAAAAATAAAATAGTTCAACACACAGTCAGTTTATTTAAACCAAATTTCAGAGCGATAAAATTTAAATACAGTTTTTTAAACAGCATATTTCTCACCCTGAAATTGGACCACAGCCCATCAGATCTGTCCATCACCATGCATTCAGTCTGAATCCAAAATGTCACACTTACTTGAGAATAGAGATGCTGTGGAAGATTTTAAACTCTTGACATCAAAAATCCAATTTTGTACGACAGGTACCTGTTCATTGCCGGCCCAACGTGCCACCTCAGCATGTCTTGCCATTGAGGATATGATGAAATGTGTTAAGTGAAGAAATTTTCATATTAGATGTGTCTACAAGGTCTTGTTTAGAAAATGTAACTGTCAGTCCATCCAAGAACATTCTTGTCCTTTGAGTAATGTTTATGGAAAGTATTGATATTTTAACTTCTGGGCAATATTAACTAGGATATGATTGTTCTGTTGAAAATGATCTGCTTCTAAGAAGTTGTCCTCCCCCTTTAGACTATGAACTCCTTGAGGCTGGGGACTGTTTCTTGGTCTTTGTATATCCAGCCCCTGTCACAGTCTTCGGCATAAATAATGTTGAGTTGAACAGATAGAGGGAATGAGACTGTCAGTGGGAGGAGTAAAGGGTTGTTAAGAGGAACCTGACTGAGACAGTTACTTCTTTCTCTCTGCTTCTCTTTCTTCCCTTCACACAGCTGCGGTTGCAGACACACCCTGGTATGGCCATGAGCTAATAACATCCCTAGGAATCAAGTGGGTCACCATGCGTGGCCTGCAACTGAGAGAAGGCCCTACCACTTCATCCAGCCCCCTGCTCTACAACCCTAGTCCTTTACCAAGGCCAGCCCCACATGGTTCTTGGCATCCAGTCAGACTCACTGCTACTCCACCAACCCGGACGCAGGGCCCCCTGTGCCCCAGCAGCCCCTACACACCCCACTTTGTATGGCCAGGCTTCTGCTGAAGGCGCAGCTACACACTCCAGCATGCCTGTTAGGACCGTGCAATTTATCCTGAACCCCCCACCCCTTGTCAGGACTGTGACCTGCTGTCGATGATCCCTTCCATACATCTGCACCTCCTGTGACAGAGCCTAGAACTAAAGTCCTCCAAGCACCCGCCTCACTTCCCACATCAAAGTGGCAGTGCTGGTCAGCCGTGGCACTCCACTTTCCCTGACTTGGCCCTACCTAGCTAAATGTAAATTCCATAGCTCTCACCTCTAAAATAATTGTATATGTCAAAAAAAAATTGAAAACTACAAACGTCCATGTATAATAGGCACTTAAAATTTTTTTTGCAAATGTAATGTGCTTTTTTTGGTAACAGCTTTGTTGAGATATAATCCACATACCATACGATTCACTCATTCAAAGTGTACAGTTCAGTGGTTCTTAGCATATTGCCAGAGTTATGCAAACATCTCCAGAGTCTCATTTGGGAACATTTTCATAATCTCAAATAGAAACCCTGTGCCCTTTAACTCTCACTTCCCTGTACCACCTGTCCTGCAAGCCCTGAGCAACCATTGATCTATTTTCTATCTCTATAGATTCTGGATATTTCATGTAAATGGAATTATGTAATACATGGTCTCCTGTGACTGACTTCTTTGACTTAGTATAATGTTTTCAAGGTTCATCCATTGTAATGCACTTCTGAGGAAAAAAAGGATTTGTATAATAATAACATTGGGAACCTTTTCTCAAAACCACAACATTCTAAAAAATATGCCCTGTGATATTTAGGATACAGTTTTTGGCAGGTTAACTCTTTATCATCTATCATTACTGACTCCTTTCAATACCAGTATACTTCCAACACACGGCTTCTGGCATCCTCCATGGAGAGCTTATTATTAGAAATTGACACATTAACTAATTGTGAAAACATGATGACAAACAATAACAGACATGCAGTAGAGAAAAAAATCCCATGTTAACTTCACCCAGGTTAACAACCATTTTTTGTGTATGTGAGGTGTTATTTTATCTTTGTGACATGCAGTTCAAGTGAAAGGATTTCAAGGGGTGGAGTGTGTGCGTGTGTTTCTTAATCATGAGTGATTTGGGCATTCTGGCCCAGCTGACAGCTAAAGAAGCAGTGTGGTAGGTGGGGAAGGACTGGGCTTTGGGCTCAGACACACCTGGGCTCCAATTCCAGATCTGCCCCATTAGACTTTAAGCAAGTGACTTAAGTTCTGTGAGTGTCATTTTATTATTTTTAAAAGGAGGATACCGCTTCTACATTCATAGCACTGTTAAAATAAAATTAAGTTATGTATCTATGACCATTCCTGGCCTGAGTATACACAATAGATGTGAGTTTCTCTTCCTTCTCACTCCCTTAAAGCCTTCTGAAAACTCATCATACCAGAGGCCAAGCAGCCAGGAAATGTAATAAAGCAGTGGTTTTCAGTGGTCCTCCTGCAGCATCACCTGGGAACCTGTTAAGAAGTGTAAATTCTCGGCCCCGCCTCAAATCTACTGCATCAGAAACCCCAGGAATGGGCCCAGCACT